CACTTGGTCCCAGGGGATCTATTTCTTCTCCACCATCTTCCCTCAGGAGCTGAGTTCTCTGCTCCACAAAGCTGCATGGCTAAGAGGATGAGAAATAGGGCTGAACACTTCCTGTGTCCTGTACCCATCTCTTCCTACTGCCATGAAGGCTGAGGCAGGTTTACACCAAGGGTGTTCTGTTCCTCATGCCTGTCTCTGACACCCGATAAAGAGACACATCTAATCTCCCAGCTGGCTCCCTTTCTTCCCAAGAGGAGAGACTCCAGGACCTGCTGAAAGCTTTATCTCTGCTTGTCCTTGTGGGTACGGCTGATCGGTGGGCCTGGACAGGCCCTTTACAGCAGACACTTCTTCAGGCCCCTGTCCCACTGAGGGTAGGGATTTGGGGTCACCCCTGTCAGAGGGAGTGGGAGTGGCCAATCGCCCCACTTTTTAGAGTCTCTGTGCCTAGTCTCGTAGATGGAACACAGGTGAAAGGAAGGCGGGTCAGGCCGTCCCTTCTCTACTAGTAGTCTCAAGGGAGAGGATGGGAAAGCAGCAGGGAGGAGCTGAGGAAAGTGGGGAGAGGCTGGGGTCTGTGCTTGAGGAGAGAGATTTTTAAGCCATTTTAGGAAGGATTTTAGGCCGTTTAGGAAGAAGCAGGGCCAGGGATGCTGTCCCAGAGAATAGAAGGGTAGGGTATTTGAGGAAGAAATGGAGGTGATTCCCTAAAGAATAGGAGGTTAGACTGTTTGCAAAGAAGATGACCAAGACAGAGTCTCCTGGGTCAGGGGTGGCTTGAGGGGTTTCCATTCCTGTTTGCAGGAACTTGAAGGGGGGTCATCCACAAGAGGAACTGCCCCTGCTGTCAACTGGGGGTGGCAGCTTTAGGGAAAGGGGCACCTAATATAGAAGGCAAAGTGCCCTGGGCCTGTCATTGGTCTCTGGGAGGACCTGGACGCTGTTTCAGAATGCCACACCATCGTCTCCACCCCCGGTGCTCTGTGGCTCCATCACCTACTCGGCTGGGCCCGAGTGGAGACACCCATTGCCCTCCTGGCCTGCAGGTGAACGTGCTGGCCCTCAGCATCTGCACGCGCGAAGCCTACCAGTCCATGAAGGAGCGGAATGTGGACGATGGGCACATCATTAACATCAATAGGTGAGGGCAGGTGGCCGAAGGATAGAGCTCAGGTCACCACTCACCCTCCATGCTGGGTGATTTGCTGCAGCTCATTTGGCCTTGGTTTTCTTGGTGGTAAAGGAGGGATTTAATACCCGAATGGCACAATTTGTGGTGAAGGAAAGTACCAAGTACCAAGTACTTTGCCAAGTACCAGTGCCTGGTCTGCTGGAATGGGCAGCTCAGCCCCTTCCCTCTGCAGCTGAAGTGTGGGACCCCTCCCTAGGCCTGAGCACCTCCATCTCTCAGGCCCTGGGATGAACCCCACCTCAAGGCACAAAGAAAGACTGCACAGTCTCTGCCATTAGAGAGCCCCCAGTCTGAGAAGGGACGTGGCCTCTGTCTGTCCCCAGAGACTCCCAATAGAGCCATATCAGTGAACACAGAGGTGCGATGGAGCAATTTCTGACATCCACATGATCAGGAGCACAGGAACGACTTCTAGGAAGAGGAGGGTTTTCAGGAGCTGCTGGAGTAACAGAAGCTAGATGAGGCCGGGCGCGGTGGCTCACGCCTGTAATCCTAGCACTCTGGGAGGCCGAGGCAGGAGGATCGCTCAAGGTCAGGAGTTCAAAACCAGCCTGAGCAAGAGCGAGACCCCGTCTCTACTAAAAGTAGAAAAAAATTAATTGGCCAACTAAAAGTATTTAGAAAAAATTAGCCAGGCATGGTGGCACATGCCTGTAGTCCCAGCTACTCAGGAGGCTGAGGCAGGAGGATTGCTTGAGCCCAGGAGTTTGAGGTTGCTGTGAGCTAGGCTGATGCCATGGCACTCTAGCCCAGGCAACAGAGTGAGACTCTGTCTCAAAAAAAAAAAAGAAGCTAGATGAATGGGCTGTGGGATGGCCACTAGTGGTCCCCTTTAGGAGGCTTCCCTGTCTGCATCTGGGTGGTGGGGTTGACCTGCACTGCAGGGGGCACTGCTGGTCCCCGTGGAGCTTCATTCTCTCTTCTTTCCCCTTCCCTCCCTCCCTCCACCCAGCATGTCTGGCCACCGAGTGGTACCCGTGTCTGCGATTCATTTCTATAGCGCAACCAAGTACGCCGTCACTGCACTGACAGAGGGACTGAGGCAGGAGCTTCGGGAGGCCCAGACCCACATCCGAGCCACGGTGAGGGTGTGGCCCGGCCCTGGCGGGGCTGGGGTAGGCACGGCCCCTCCCTGCCCACCCATACTGCCCAGGAAGCCCGTGTCTAGGGTGTGGTGTGTAGAGCTCCCAGGAGTGGACTGTGTACAGATCTGCTGGCCTCTGTTGCCCCTTGCATGGTCCTGCTCTGTCCCTGAGTGTCTTCATTTCGCTGATCCAGGAGCCAATGACAGACTTAGACTTTGAAGTGTGAGGGGCCTGACCTGAGGGGCACATGGTGGGGTGAGACTAAGGGAGACTAAGGTGAGACTAAGCAAAGGATTGTGGGAAACCAGGTACACAATGGCTGGAAACTGGGACTCTGGGCTCTTAAAAGGCCACATGACCGTGGCCAAGTCACTGAACCTCTCCAAGCCTCGGTCTTCTCATCATAAAATGGAGATGATGATACCTACTGGTTATGAGGTTTTAAGGGACATCGTTTTGTGAAACACTCACCTGACACACAAGAAAGGCCTCTGTAGAGGGTAGGTATCATTGTGACAATAGCCAGTGGCAGTTTCAGAAGGAGGAGGCAGCTGCTGGACACTGGGCAGCCGTCACTGTGAAGCTGGGGCCCCGTGGCCTCCCTCCTCTCTCCACAACCTCCCCAAGGCCTGGCAGAGCTCAGCCCCTGAGCAGGCCCTCTCTGTTGGCCCAGTGCATCTCTCCAGGTGTGGTGGAGACACAGTTCGCCTTCAAGCTCCACGACAAGGACCCTGAGAAGGCAGCTGCCACCTATGAACACATGAAGGTGGGGCCTCCCTCTGGGCCTAGTGAAGCCACTGACTCCCTCAGTGAAAGCAGAGGGAACCCTGGCCTTCAGCCTCCACCCTTCTAGCCACCTTGTCACCCCTCCTACAGGGCTCGGGTGGGAATGTGGGTGCTGGAGAGGACCTCAACAGTGGGAGGGACCTTGAGTCCATTCTGTCCTTGACTCAACCCCTTCCCCTGGTGCTCTCAGTGTCTCAAACCCGAGGATGTGGCCGAGACTGTTATCTACGTCCTCAGCACCCCCCCACACGTCCAGGTGAGTCTGGCCTTGACTGTCCACCCCCTGGAGGAACCCAACCATCCCCAGAGGAGGGGCCTTCAGGGGGCGGGGAGAGTGTCCTGGCTGCCTCAAGCCTTGTGCCTTCCGCAGATCGGAGACATCCAGATGAGGCCCACGGAGCAGGTGACCTAGTGCACTGAGGGAGCTCCTCCTTCCCTCCCCACCCCTCACGGCTTGCTCCTGCCTCTGGATTTTAGGTGTTCATTTCTGGACCCCTGGATACCAGTTCCTGTCCCCATCCCCACCAGAGGCTAGAAAATTTGTTTGAGACTTTTATATAATCTTGTCAAATTGATTCCATTGCAAATGTGAAAAATGGGCTGGGGAAAATAGGTGCTGTCACTGATTATTTTACTTCTTAACTTGTTCTTAGTCCCTTTCGTGGGCTCCTCAGCCTTTGTCTGCTCTCCTCAGTTTCTTCCCTTTGACCTGGGAAAGGGGCTGTGGCCAAAAGGGGAGCTTCCCCCTATCTTCTTGCACCCCAACTCTGCCCCTCAGGGTTGGGGTGGAAGAGAGGCCCCCCTTTTGTCTGAATGGTGATCCAGGGCTCCAGGCTTCCGCCTCTTTCTGCCCCACTGCCCCCACTCCCCTTTCTCTTCCTCCTTCCCAGCTCTCTGGCCCAATCTTGGCTTGTTGGCCCCCAGTGGGGTCATCACTTCACTCTGACTGTGGCCGCAGAATACCGGGGCCTGGCTCCTAGTGGATTTAACAGTGATCATTAAAAAATAAAAATCACAACAAACCTACCTTGGCTTCAGGAGTGTCTTTCAATTCTTGCCCCTTCTCTGTGATCAAGGATGGTTGTGTCTCAGAATTTCTTCCAGGTGAGGGTGGATTGGGGGCATCACTCCTGGAGTGTGGATTACTTTAGGTAGCAGGAGTGATTTTGTGTTGGGTCTTAAAAATGGGAACGAGTTTGCCATAGATGAAGCGAAGACAAAACAAGGTATGCAAGCCTGGGTGGACCAGAAGAGTGTGCTATATTGTGCAAACAGCAGGGAACTTAAGTGCAGGAACGAGATAGGGTTGAAAAGGTAGCTATTGCTTGGATTACCACTCCAGGCCAGCAGGGCTGGGCTGTTTGGGCATCCGAGGCACAGGACATTCCAGTTCTGTGGCCCAAATGGCAGAAACTGGACACCCTGTGCAGCTACCAGGTCCACTAGGGTGTCTGCTTGGAGGTGAGCGCTCCTGGACCTGAGTGCTGAGCAAAGGTGTCTGGCTATTACCCGTGGGACAGGGGCATCGGCTGGCTTGTCAGCAGGGACGCGACAGGCTCACAGCTGTCACTTGGAAGAGAATCAGCCACGGGATGGGAAGTTGCTATTGCGGTTCTGCTGACTGGTGATGAGGGTCTGACAAGGAGAAGCTTCTGGGGAAGATCTCCAGCACCTGGATGTAAGGAGGGAGGCACCAAGACTGAATCGGTTCAACCGGAAGGCTAACCCGTCCCCTTAAAGTGTCCTTTGCTGGTGTGTGAGTGAATTAGGTCCCCCGAGGGCACAGGATGCAGCAGGCAGTAGGGTCAGCTCAGCTTTGAGCACGGCCTCCCGGCTCGCCGTGGTGGAGTGGAGGTCGCCGCTCAGCCAGTCCTGCAGGGGGCGCTGTGGGGACAGTCTGCAGCCGGACGTGCGCAGTGCGTCGCCGGGCAGGGGGCGGGGCCGCCTGAATGCGGAAGCGGAGAAGCCCACGTGGGCTGGCGGGGGCGGTCGTAGCTGGGCTGTCCAGTTCTGGGAAGCCTCTGTGCTCGTGGTCTGGCCTGTAGTTTGTTCTTGTCTCGGGGGCTGGGTGAGGGCAGCCGTGCCCAGGTCCCCTTCGCCCCTCTGTTGAGGGCCTGGGAACGGGGCGAGTCCCTGGCGGGGCGTGTACCATGGGATTACTCTCGACCTTCAGGGGCGCGACCCGGTGTTGCTCGGGTCACTTTGTCACCCGTCATTTCTCCCAAGCAGCGCGGCGTGAGGTGCGGCCTGGAGGGGAGGAGCTAAGCCGTCTGCGGCTGGATGACCTGCCGGCGACGCAGCGGCTGGAGCTTCTGTTTGGCCTGTCCCCATGTCTGTTGGCACTGCAGGCTGCCCGCCGCCGCGTGGCCAAGCTCCTGCTCCAGGCCGGCAAGGCCGGGCTGCAGGGGGCGCGGGCCGAGTTGCTCCGGGCGGCCGAGGCACAGGGCATTCCAGTTCTGCGGCCCAGACGGCAGAAATTGGACGCCCTGTGCAGGTACCAGGTCCACCAGGGCGTCTGCTTGGAGGTGAGCCCGCTGCGGCCCCGGCCCTGGACTGAGGCCGGAGAGGCGAACCCAGGCGACGACCCCCAGCAGCTGTGGCTCGTCCTCGAGGACCTTCAGGATCCCCGGAATCTTGGGGCTGTGCTGCGCTCCGCTCACTTCCTCGGAGTGGATAAGGTCATCACTAGCCAGAGAAACAGGCACGGATGTCCCTTATTCTCCATGTGTCCCATCTTGGAGGCGCAGCCGAGTTCCTAAGCACCTTGACCCTTGGGTGATCCCTCAGCTGGGCTTCCTTAGAGCCAGAACTCTAACCCCCTAACCCTTGGGAGCCCAGGGAGGCGAGGGCACCGGGCTTGAGATTGTCCAGCCTAATAGGGGGAATGGGGAAACTTTGCAGCTGCCCGCTCACTCCAGTGGTCAGCAAGGCCAGCGCGGGCGCTATGGAGGTGATGGACGTGTTCTCCACTGATGACCTGGCCGGTTTTTTACAGGTAATGAGGGGCGAGAGGGGAAGGAACAGAAACGAGTTTTGCTCAGCCTCTTCTAGGGATCTCTGCCAGCAGTTGATGGGAGGAGAGAAGGGGACATACTGGCATCGCCTTCTCTGGAGAGGGAAGGGCCCCAGAGTTTTTAAAACTACTGATGGAGCACTGTCTAAAGTTAGGAACTTGCTGGCTCCATTCCCTTCACTGCACTCCTTTCCCAGGGAATACACCTCTTTGCCCCTTCTTTAAGTCTACCTCAGTGTCTCAATTGCCTACTAAGTAGGTCTTCAGTAAATGCTTGTTCAGCTGTGAGGAGCTGGTGGACAGGAGGCCTCGGTTCCTCGAATAGGGGCACAGCTTGAAATAATCTTTGAACAAGGAGACCTGCATGCCACTGATATCTAGTAATCGGCAAACCTTAGGAAGCCTCTTTCTAGGTCCTTTAGTCTGTTTTCAGCTGTGCTTCCCTTGCTGGACACGAGGGGTCAGTATTGCTCCGCATTTGGCAGACCTCTAACCATTCCTCCCTTCCCCCATTCTGAGTGGTGAGAAACTCCCCCCTCCCCAAGAAGGTGGGAGAGCTCTGGAATGTGCTTAGAACAATGCTGCCCAATAAATATATAATATGAGCCATATACGTAGTTTTAGATTTTCTAGTAGCCACACTGAAAAGTAAACAGAAACAGGTGAAATTAATTTTAATAAATTTTACCTACTATATCCCAAATATTATCATTTCAACACGTAATCTTTTGTGGGATATTTTTTTTTTTTTTTGAGACAAGGTCTCAATAGAGACTAGCTGCCAGGCTGGACGGTAGTATTGTCATCACAGCTCACTGCACCCTCAAACTCCTGGGCTCAAGTGATTCTCCTGCCTCAGCTTCCTGAGTAGCTGGGACTACAGGCTCACTCCACCATGGGCCAGCTAATTTTGTTTTTTAAAAAAATTTTTGTAGAGATAGGGTCTCACTGTTTTGCTCAGGCTGGTCTCCAACTCCTGGCCCCAAGTGATCCTCCTCCCTTGGCCTGGCAGAGTGCTGAGATTACAGGCATGAGCCACCAGCTAATTGTTTTAAATATTAATGAAATATTTTGCATTGCTTTTAACAATTTTTACATGGAGCACATCTCAATTTGGACTAGTCACATTTCAATTGCTTAATAGCCATATGTAGCTAGTGGCTACTAGATTGAAAAGCATCTGTCTAGAAGCATTTTCTGGTTTCCTCTTCTTGTAGGGAGCCCTCTTCAGAGGAATTCTGGCCAAATCTGGTGGGAGATGAGGTTCCCTCTTCTCACTTCCACTACCCTACACAGATAGCTCCTGAAAGAAACAAAACCACGGCAGGATACTTACTTAAGTTCCAGTGATTACATCTCCATACTCCCATCAGCATCTAGGGGAAGCAGGGGGCTGCCCTGGCCCCCAGCCCTTCTTGCCTACTCAAAGACAGTCTAGTCATTTTCATCATTGGGTTTTCCCTTCCATCTCATTAGCATGCAAACAAGCATTCTCCCTCTCTTTTTTTTTTTTTGAGACAGAGTCTCCCTGTGTTGCCTAGGCCAGAGTGCCATGGCATCAGCCTAACTCACAACAACCTCAAACTCCTGGGCTCAAGTGATCCTTCTGCCTCAGCCTCCCGAGTAGCTGGCACTACAGGCATGCGCCACCATGCCTGGCTAATTTTTTCTAAATATTTTTAGTTGACCAATTAATTTCTTTCTATTTTTAGTAGAGATGGGGGGAGGTGTCTCGCTCAGGCTGGTTTCGAACTCTTGACCTTGAACGATCCTTCAGCCTCGGCCTCCCAGACTGCTAAGATTACAGGCTTGAGCCACCACGCCCCAGCCTCCTATTCTCTCTTGATCTCACACCAGTCAGACCCTCCTCCCACACTGAAAGCCCTTGTCAGGGTCACCAGTGACCTCCATGCTGCTGCATCCATGGCTCAGTTCTCAGTCCTTATGTGACTTGACCTGTCCACAGCATCTGGCACAGGTGACCAGTCCTTCCTCCTGGAAGCACTCTTCACCTGACTTTCCTCCTGCTCCACTGTGCCCTCTCTTGCTGTTATCTTTGGTGATTTCTCTTCATCACCCCCCCACACACGCCCTCCAAACATTGGCATTTCCCAGGTCTCAGTCTTTGGGTCTCTTTTCTGTATATATTCATTTCTTGTTGTTCTCATCTAGTCTCGTGGCTTTAAATACCATCTATATTTGAATGCCTTCCAAATGTGTATCCTAGCCTGGATCTTACTTCTGAAGTCTGGATTCACTCATCTAGGTGCCTACTCCAGCTGGGCACAGTGGCTCACACCTGCATTCCTAGCACTCTGGGAGGCCGAGGCAGGTGGATCATTTGAGCTCAGGAGTTCGAGACCAGCCTGAGCAAGAGTGAGACAATTACTTGGACAGCTAAAAAAAAAAAAAAAAAATATATATATATATATATATATATATTAGCTGAGCATGGTGGCGCATGCCTGTAGTCCCAGCTACTCGGAAGGCTGAGGCAGTAGGATCACTTGAGCCCTGTAGTTTGAGGTTGCTGTGAGCTAGGCTGACGCTATGGCACTCTAGCCTGGGCAACAAAGTAAGACTCTGTCTCAAAAAAAAAAAAAAAAAAAAGATGCTTACTCCACAGTTCTTTTTTGTAGTCTATTGGGCATTTCAAAGTTAACAAAACTGAGCACGTGTTCCTTCTAGAGGTTTACCCAGCTCAACTAATGGCAATTCCATCCCTTCTGTTGTTGAGGCCAAAAACATTGGCATCATTCTTGATTGAAGTTATTTGCATATTTTCACCATTTCTCACCATCTCCACTGCTACCACCCTGGTCCAACTCACCTTCATCTCTCGGCTATATTATTGCAGAAACCTAACTGGTCTCCTTACTTCTGCTGTTAGTTCTCAGCACAGCTGGCTGAGTGATTCTGTTGAAGTCAGACCATGGTACTTCTCTACTCAGAGCCTTTCAAAGGCTTTTCATCTCTCTCAGAGTAAAAGCTAAAGTACTTCCAGTAGTCCCTGAAGTCCTACCTTATGTGGCCATTGTTCCCTGTCCTGTCTCCTTGACAACTCCCTTCCTGCTGGTTACCTTACTGTTCCTTAAACATGCCAGCTAAGTACCTGCCTTTGGGCCTTTGTGCTTGCTAATTTCTCCACCTGAAAGTTTCCTCCCCTTGATGTCTGTACTGTGCTCCCTCATCTCCTGCAGGGCTGCACTCAAATGTCACCTCAGTGAACCCTTCCCTACCAACTCTTCCACAAGACTGGAATTTTGGACTGTTTTGTTTTGTTCACCACCCTATCCCCAATGCCTGGAACAGAGCCTGGTCCGTTCTGGGTGCTTAATAACTGTTGACTAAACTGACTGCATGAGTGGGTAGATTAATATATGGGTGAGGCTGGGCTCCTCCTTGGCCAGAACACTGATGAAGATTTGATGAGCTAGAAAAATGATTTCTTCCTCCTTTCAGGCCAAAGCCCAGCAGGGCTGGCTCGTGGCTGGCACAGTGGGCGGCCCAAGGGCTGAGATCTCCCAGTCCTCCGAGATCCCTGTCACTAGTTGCTTGGATTTCCTCTGGGACCGGCCTACTCTCCTCGTGCTGGGTAGGTATTTGTCCCTGCTTTTCTGTGCTCAGGTAGACATTTCCTGAGCATGTCGGTGTCTGGCTGGGGCACCCTAACCCTCTGCCCTATGCCCTGCAGGGAACGAGGGCTCTGGTCTGTCCCAGGAAGTGCAGGCCTCCTGCCAGCTTCTCCTCACCATCCTGCCCGGGCGCCAGCTGCCACCTGGACTCGACTCTTTGAACGTCTCTGTGGCTACAGGTGAGTCTACTCCCCCTTCCCTTTCTTCTCACCCCCTCATCACACAGGTGTCACTTCTCTCTAATCTTATTTACCAGCTGTTTCATCCTAAACAAGTCATTCAACCTTTCTATGTCTCAGTTGCTTTTTGTGCAAAATGGAGAAAACACATCCTGTTGAGGAGGGTGAAAAGAGGGAGGGTGCCTGGCATGTGTCAGGGGCTCTGTCCTCTCGTCCCTTGTCCTCTGTCTGTGCAGGAATTCTTCTTCACTCCATATGCAGCCAGAGGAAGAGTTTCCCTTCAGAGAGAGAAGAAGGCACCTTCTCTGAGACCCCCAAGAATTTGAGTCACGTCTGAAGGACTCAGAGTGGCTCAGTATCCAGGACTGTCTTCAGGATGGGGAAAAGGCAAATTGGGAGCTGGCTTGGACCATCTGCAATGTGCATGTGCTGGAGTCGGGACTGTTGCACATACATCCACGTGCTCCAGTGTGTGGGAGTCTCCACTGAGTGTGTACCGCAGTCCTTGTTTATTGACCATAGTCTTGGGGGTTCGGGGACTTTGGGATGGAGACCAGAGAGGAAGTTCAGTTTCCTGTTGGGATGTTGCAACTGCAATAGGAGATGGTAGTTTGTCAGTTTCCAGGCCCGGCTGGGATGGAGGGAGTCTGTCCGCCTGGGGCCTGCCTAGAAGTCAAGGAGAAGTCTAGACATTGGGAAAGGAGCAGGCAGCCTAGTCCCAGGGTCCTGTTCCTCTTGAACGAGCTGTTGCTTGTGGCAAATGTGAGTGTGAGAATGTAGAGGGAGGCCCAGGACCCTTGTGTGGGGTAGACTGGGCACCAATCGAGGCTTAAATACTGCCCCACTGTGGGGCCTTGAGTACACATCTTCATCTTTATGTTCCTCGGACCCTTGTTTGCAGCTAATTCACAGGTTTTTAGGATCAAATAAAACATCACCTGGTACCCGGTAAGCACTGTATAAATGGGATATTCCATCGATTTGTCCATTAGATGGCAGCCTCGCTCTTTGGCCGAGTTTACAGGACGCTTCTGCAGCCACCAGGAGGAGACTCCAGGGTGCAGCCCCAGAAGAGTCAAGGGAAAATTAGCAAACACCTCCCACCCCACTGGTACCCACCCTCCCCCGGCCAGGGACTCATCCGTCAGTCCATCTCAACAGGAGGGACCGAGGACAGGCTTCCTGTTGATTGTACAGCCTAGACAGACTCGGTGCTCTTCCCCCAGGGTCCCACAAATGGAGCAGAAGCCACCAGTGCTTCTCAGTCTTGGCAGCACATTGGGACCACCTGGCAAGGGTCAAAAAACCCAACACTGACACCAGAGGGTCTGATACAATGAGTGTGGGTGTCAGGCTTTTCCAGGCTCCGCAGGAGAGCCACTAGAGCAGAGGCTCTCAACCGCCAACGTTCCTTCGGGCCCAGTGCGTCTTTGCTGTGACCCCCTCCTGTGTGTTGGAGGATGTTTAGCAGCACCCTGACATCTACCCACTAGATGCCACTAGTACCCCCCAACCCCAAGTTATGAAACCAAAAATGTCTCCAGACATTGTCAAATGGCCCCTGGAGGACGGAATCCTCCCTGGTTGTGAACCACTGTCCTGGAACATGGGATTCGGAGGCGAGCAGCCCCTAAATTGTAATCCTGACTGCTGTGTGACTTTGGGCAAGTTACTTGCCCACCTGTGCCTCCCTCCTGGGAGAGAGGGAAATAATTCTGCCTTCCTGGATTGCAGGGAAGGTGTAGAGGGTGATGGGGACTCAGGGCCTCCCATGTGGTAGGTGCTTAATAAATAGTGCCCCCTTTTCTCTGGATTTCATCTGGAATGGATGTAGCTCAGAATTATAATGGTAATGCCAATTTAGAATGTCAGAATTTGTTTAGAAGGGGCCTAAGATCTTTTTAAAGTCAAAGTTTCTCTTCTCAAGAAAGGACTAAAGTCCCATGATCACCGCCAGCATGTGTCCCCATTGAGATCCTGTCCCCGACTGCCACACCAGCTCTGATCTCTGCCAGCTCGGGTCAGCCCTGACCAGAACACACTGCCTCCCCCATCCCTGTGCCTTCTTGGTCAAGAGCCCATTGTAGTGACTTTTAACCTTGGCTATGCCTTAGAGTCATAGCTGGAGGGAAGAGGACACATTTTAATATTCTAGATGCACCAGACCAATTAAATCAGAATCTCTGGGGAAGGAGCCAGGTGTTGGTGTTTCATAAAGCTCCCCTTTAAGAAATGATCTCATTGTGCAGCCAGGTTCAAGAACCACTGGCCTTCGGGCCTCTTGCTTATGTCCAAGAAACTGCTTCATATTCACATCAAGAAGCACATTCACACCTGTGGTTTTCAGGTGTGCCTGGAAGTTTGGGCAAGGTTGATCTTTCATCTGTCCCTAAAGTTCTTTGGAAGATGCTCATTCCAGCCTTGGCTCCATGGTTTCCTACCTAGATGGTTTCCCAGTCTCCTCATCTGTAAAACAGGGACGTGCCATTAATTCCAGCTCTATTTGCCCCCTTCTAACAGAGAAGTTATAAAGATAAAATGAGAATATCAGTAAAAACTGTTCTGTAAACTAGGACTATGCATCCCAAGACTAGCACACAGTAATACAAACTTTGAACGTGATACCTAATTTTATGTATCCACTTGACTGGGCCATGGGGTGCCCAGATATTTGGTCAAACATGATTCTGGGGATTTCTATGAGGGTGTTTTTGGAAGAGATTAACATTTAAATCAATAGACTGAGTAAAGCAGATTGCCCTCTATAATTTGTGTGGGGGCCTTATCAGTTGAGGTTCTGAACAGAACAAAAGGCTGACCTCCCCTGGAATGAGAGAGAATTCCTTCTGCCCTCAGACTGTTAAGTGAAACACAGGCTCTTCCTGGGTCTTGAGCACACTGCCCTTTGGATGGGAACTACACCATTCTCTCTCTGGTTCTCAGGCCTCCAAACTCAGACTGCAGCTAAACCATCGGCTGTCCTGGGTATCGCGCCTGCTGACTTGCCCTGCAGATGTAACTTTTTGAGCTCCATAATTGTGAGCCAATTTGTAATAATAAAACTTTTTAACACACACACACACCCTATTGGTTCTGATTCTCTGAAGAATCCTGATTGATACACTTGATGAAAACAAATGCAGGTGTCTCAGCGCTCCCTCTATGTGGGGGTGCAGAGGTGAGCTCCACTCTCTAGGACCAAGCCCAGTGTGGGGCCTAGAAGATGGGGTAGGTGGTGGTAAGGGTCCAGAACCCCCTCTCCTGCCCACAGACTCCTCTGTGGTGACTGGAACTCTGTGATGACTAACCTGCTGTTCGTCAGGTTTCTGGATCACAGCAGTTTGGGGTATCTAGCTGGCCAGTCTCCTGGGAGTGGCCCCCAGAGGGGGCTTCTCCCTGCTTTGCCCCTGGGAAGCAGGCTGGCTGGAGTCTGGGAAGACAGATTCACTTGAAGCAAAAGGAACCAAGGCTATAAACTCCCTGCCACACACACACAGGTGTTGTCATGTACACAGGCTGTCCCACGACAAAAGGGAAAGGCCTGAGGTCCTAAGGATGAGGGAGATGAGGCCCAATACCCCTTTGAGTGGCCTCTGGGGCCTGGCCCGGTGTCCAACACGGAGCCACTGCTCAGCAAGTATGGGTTAAGCATGCAGGAGCTGGGGGTGCTGTGGGTACGAAGGGGCTGGGTGAGGGTCTAGCCCCTGAAGGGCAGAACTGGGATGAAGCCAGGAGAGAGAGCCACAGTGATTAAAACCAGGATCCTGGCTGCTAAACAGCACTTGCTTCAAGTTCAAGCTCTGTGACTTGCTAGTAGCGTCATGTGGACCTGTCCCTTAAATTCTAAGCCTCAGTTTTCATAGTCTATAAAATGGGGATAACAATGATATCCACTTCAGATGATGATGGTATGGATGAAAAGAAATCCTACATGTAAAGCCCTCAGCCCCATGCTTGGAGGAGGATCGTGGCTGTTCTTCACAGACTCTGGGGGCTAACCTAGAGGTCAGAGCACTGGGCTGTGCTTGCTGATTAACCTGGCCTCAGTTTCCCTGTAGGCCCTTGGGGCCCCTTTCAGCTGCAGTGCACAATGATTTACCCCCTAGAACTGCTGGAGGGAGTTGGGGAGTGGGTTGAAATGACATTTGCAGGGTCCCCTTTTGTCAGGGCTCCCCAGCTAAGAGGGGAAGGGTCTAAGAAGGATTGTCACTGACTTCATGTTCCCAGAGCTGCTGAATCAAGGCCAGCACCGCTGACCCCTTCTCTGGGCCTGCAATCTTTTTTTGGCAGGAGGCTTAATTGTCAAACTCGCCTCCCTCGGGCTGGGGTCCTAAATGAGACAGCCCCCCTCTCCTGCCACTCCTGCAGGGCCAGGTGCCAGGCATCCCCACAGTTTGTAAATGTAATCAACCTTGTGGTCTCTCGCTTTCACAGGTGCAATTAGCATGCCCATCTGCTAATCACTGATTAATGGTGTTTACAAACATGGGACTCCACTCACAGAGCTGCTCAGTCCCTCTCTCCTGGGGTCAGAGGCAGGGGACTCCCCAGCCAAAACCAATCTGCCTCCCCTTCCCCAGGCAGTGGGCAGAGCTGGAAGTCCCTCCCAGCGGGGAGCTCCCTGGCCCAATTCTCATTGTATACACGGGGAAAGCGGACCCAGAGAGAGCAGACGGGGAGACTTGGTGGTAGGGCTAGGATCCTGCTGGTCCTTTCTTCCCAATTCTGGAACTTTGACAACAAGTTCTATTGGGCATGCTGCCTTTATTTACCACTCAGCCCCAGGCCCAGGGCCACAGGGACAGACCTCCTTGCAGGGAGTTCTCTGTGCGTCCAAGTCAGAGACTCAGTACCCAAAGTGCTGAGAGCTCTGAGTCCGACGGTCCAGGGTCCACGTTTTGGCTCTACTTCAGGCAAGTCCCTTGACCTGATTGAACCTCAATTTCTTCATCTGTAAAATGGAAATAAGAATTCTGCTTACCCTATAGGTTAAGGTTTATAGGTGAAGATTAATGATAGGATGTATGAAAAAGGCTTAGCACAGTAGATATTTAATAAATGTGAGCTTTTATAGCAATAAAAATGTTATTAACAATGATGAGGATGAAATGAGGCTTTTGAAGCTACAAGGATGCCCGAACATGGCTTCTCCCCCCAGCCCCCTCTCTGGGGAGAAAGGCAGGTCCCAGCTCATTACTGGTGGGGGCTGGGGTGGAGGTGTCAGATTGGAATCACTCCTGGGTCTGTTTGCAGCTTCCTTGTTTCATTAACACCTCCCTGGTGGTCTTCAGCTCATCCTGCTGGGGGAGGTGCTCCAGAAAGTTCTAACTGCCTCCTTTCCAGCCCAGAGCTGTGTCCCTCACTTCCAGGCTGTGCTCCAGATGCACATGGAGGGGGTTTTATGCTGGGGAGAGGTGGCCACTGACCAGGAGGCTGTCATTGTCCTTCTTTCCTGAGGGTCCTGGAAGCCTAGTCAGGGGACACAGCACCTGGGGTGGCCCTTTTCTTTACTCTCCCCATCAACCTCTAATCCATAGGTTCCAGTCACCGCCCCCCCCCATTGCCCCTGCATCCCAACCTGGCCCCTTTTCCTTCCTTTGGAATCCCTGTGCCTACTGTGAACGTGGCCAGTCTCCGTTCTAATCCTTCCTAGCTGGCTGGGCCTAAGGCAAGTTGCTTACCCTCTAGGACATTCAGTTGTCCCTTCTGTAAAATGAGGAAACCATGCCTCCCAGGAGGTTAGCACAGTGCCCAGTAAATTGTAAACTCTCAATAATTGGAAACCATTGTTGTTATTTTACGGGCAAAACAACTGCTCTCAGAATTATCTTTTAGAATTGCAGAACCTTGTTTGGCTGGGGCGGGTGGAGGGGGAGCAGGGCCAGAGCCCTGAGGACCATTAGCACCTCGGAGAAGCAGGCAAGGGCATGAGCTCTGCCCCCCA